ATTCTGTACAGACAGGAGCACAAAGTTTAAAAAATGATTTAAATTTCAGATATATAGATACTTAAATGACTTGACTTGTTCAAAACTAACCGACTGTTATTAGTTTACATGAACCGTTTTATCGGAATTTTTCCAAGTTTTCGATAGAGATAATTACTTCAAACAAACAAAACACATTGCTTGATGGCATAATTTGTCGTGTTGATGTCTCCTGGCATCAAGGAAGACAGACGACGAGATGACGACTAGGTTTTCTGAAATGCTGGTTACCTCAGAAATTTTCTTGAATAATCTCTTATGCTTCATCTAATCATCTGCCGTCCATAACTTTTGGAAATCTAGATAATTTAACAAGTAGGAATTTGTTTTTTGAAATGTCTGCAAAATGTCAGGAACCAAAGTAGTAGAATTTCTTATCCCCTATGAGCATTCGCATCCCGTCCCATTACAATATCTTGTGTTAATGATTTCCTGCATGATGAAACGTTTCTCGATATTGGTTATGAATGGGTAGATGTCTGTTCCTGATATGATACTTTTGGTCCAGATAATTTGATTCAAAACCAGAAACATATCAGGTTTTCAATATCTTTTACTTACACGATACGAGATCGTTGGAGGTATTCAACATAACTGTTTTTGTTTTATGCTCCCATCGTTGAAAAAAATTACTAATTCCTTCCTTTTAACTAATACACGTTTTAAATATCTCACAAAGGTCTATAGGTAAATTATTTACTGCGTTCTTAATTTTAGCAACCCTTAACAATTTTCAGAAAGCATACCAGGAACAATTTCGTCGTTTAATAAACACTAATGGATCCAAAAGTATATCAGAAAACATTTTACAGAGATAGTTCAGAACTAATTTAGTATAAAAAAAAAACCTGGAAAGTTTGAAAGCTGTGATGGTTCAAACATGAGCATCATCGTAAGAAGTTCTCTGAACACGATGGTCACGTTTACGTACTTGACAATGTTCAACTCAAACATTTTCCAGGAAAACATTAGCATCGGCAAAAACATACCCCATAATTCCATATTTAGTTTTACCTTTTAAAGGGACAGGTACGCCATTTCTTCTCAATCGTACCTTAGTCTCAGAAACAAATTTTTTAGCTTAGCCAATCAGCAATATCGTTTTCTGCTCACCGTCAACATTTGAGCCTTCATATCCATATGTGTTCAGAATTATCCGCGTGTGATTGTTAAAATGACGACTCGTCAATTTAAGATACTCTGTGATATAAAGAAATAACATATATAGAAATAGTGAGTAAAATTCCTAATTTGAAGTATTTTTAAAGGTCCCTTTAACTGTAAGAATACGGCCCAGAATGCAATGAAATAAAGCGTTGAAGGTAGACTATTTTGAAACAGTGACATTACTCGTGCGTGTGGTTCGTGGTGTGATGAAATGAAATAAACTACGGAACGTGAAAGATTACAATATCAACCATCAACATTAATACCAGTTTGAAGTTGTGGTTTTATAGTATTTAATACTGATTCCAGTAGACATTTCATGCTGTATGTTTTCATGCTGTATGTTGCGTGAGTTTACATCATAATAGTTAGTGAGAGAGAGTAATGTGGTATTTATGAGCGGTGATTCACTGTCATTCACTAATGTTACTCTAATCAAACAAAATAAAACATGATCTATTTCTCTTGGAAATCACATGATCAAGATTAATTGATATTTAAGTACAGATTGCATCACATTCCAATGTAGTATAGTTGTTAAACCTTACGACTTCAAAGATTCTATACTTCACAAATCAATTTTATGACCCAAAATTTAATCTCATAATTCAAGAAATCATTACTATCAAACTTCTTGACCATTTATCATGCCTCTCAAATTATTCAAACGTGAAATATAAATCAAAATATTTTTTCACAATCGCATATGACTTTTAGAAATTCATATTTTCTTTGCGACTGAATTTTAATACACGTTATAGTAGCCTATAAGATCTATAGTATGAACGAATGCATGTTATGTGCATTGACCTACTTTCTAATTAAGAATTTCCGGAAACTTCAATGCTAGTTACTTCCATTGCAATTCGTTTAAAGACATCTCATTTACTTGTAACAATCAGTTAAAGAGAAACCATTGCACCAGGAGTTAATGTTGGTCGTTGGTACACCTTTAAATGTACTTATACATACTAATGCAGACCATGCTTACCCTTTTCGAAACACCTGTCGGTGCTTCACTTTGGAGAAGTCCTTTAGTATAATATTTTTTATATGCTTTGGACGAGATTTTGATTAACGGAATTGCCTTGCTTGTACGGTTTTTTATTATTTCACATTTAAAACATAAAAAACTTGTAGAAAGTTTTTTTGGGATATAAGTGCGAATCACTTCACAATTGCTGTTAGGTTGAGTTTTCCCCAGACATTTTGTCGTTAAGCATTTTTGATTCACAAAATTATTCCGATGAACCCATCAAAAGCCACGAATAATCCCTTTTCAACACATACGCGTAGCATAATGCGGAAATTTCGGCGTGATGGTTCTGAAATTTTAGAAACAAGCAACCCAGTTACAAAGCTGTGTGTCTTACCTATTACATAGCCTTCTGTCGAACTTGTTTTTCTTCAAATAGAAATATTTATTTTCGATAACGATACCTTGTATAATAAATTCTTTTCGTGATTTTTCTCATCTCAGTTTGTTTGTAAACCTTGAGAAATCAATAGAAACTGATTAATTTTCATTCATTCAGTAAGTAATTACAGGTATTGTCATTAATTCATTGTTAAGAAATGGTGCACAAGAAAATCATTAGCATCTAAGTTTTATCCAACAAAACGCACAGGAATTTTAATGAGACAGGTTTATGCGTTATAATTTCGTATTTTTCAGACAACAAAGTACATGAGAAGAGATAAAAGAAATAATTATGAAGGTAACCGGAAACTGTCTTTTAAATCAGTTACTGCTTTAACATCCTTTTAACAAAATATAACTAGTACAAGGTCGAATTGAATGTAGTCAATGTGTTATCGAATCTTCAGTTATAAACAAGTAATTTTCTTCTAGGAAATATAGTATTCTGGTTGTTGAATGATTATCGATTGATAAGGTACCTGATGATTGGTCCCAGGTTGATAATTGTTCATCGATTACAGGTTAGCCATACTAACTATTATACTTACTAATAATATTGAATAGAAATATTTTTATTACTTCAAGCTTACTGTGACAGCTATAGTACTTCATTTTCAATGTTCCAGTAGACTGTAGAACGTAAACCTCATTCATTTTCTAGTCAACAGTGATGATACATTCAAAGGTTGTTTTAACAGATCTTGCCTTCTGCATCGAAAGGAAACATGCTTGATTGAAACAGAGAGCATTGGTGTAATGTGCTAACGCGCATGGATAAAATACAAAATACAACTATTAGCTGAGTAAAAATTACAATTTCTTTAAAGTTCTTTAAATTTGAATAACGCAGTAGCCTTATTTCATTAGGTGCTCTGGCACACAACCATTGCATTGATCACAACAAAGCTAGTTCAATATTAAACGGAAAATTATTACCACATCCTTTATCATACCGTCTTACCAGCTAGATGAGACTCAGAACATCTTTTAGTTTATCCAATTTTACCACTGACTATTATTGAAGATTGAACAGCTGAAATTCGTTATTGTTACAGTTGTACAAAAATGCTTTATTTAATTAAGTATCAAAAAACAATTTCACACAACCAAATACATCAAACACATTGCAGAAGATTGAAGCAGAAAGAGACAATGAAAGGGTGACTAGTGAGTGATGCCACAGCTCGACATTTATCATGGAACACCGATTCTTACACAAATTATTGTTTTGTATTGCTTTGATGAATTGTCAGATTCCAAGTTCTGCTTCTACTGATAATCTTGGAAAAGGTGATGCTTCCGCGACATAGCTAGATGATCATTTAATGTGCATGGCAAATATGGAAGATCTTGAAATAAAGAAAATTTAAAATTGGCTGTTTACATATGGCAATCAGAAACGAGCAATATTACCAGATGGCTAGTTATTGCAGAGAGATTAATCAATCTAATCGACAAAAGTATAAAAGTGCCTTTTTCACAAGCCCTTGTTCTGGAACGTGAGATGATAACATTGCATTTATGTAAACAAAATATAACGCTAGTCTATGCAGGTGACCAAAAGACAAGTATACTTTTGTATTATGTGCGCTCTAAAACCGATGCAGAACAGTGGAACGCCACTTAATTAATCCAAGGTATTTTCTTATTACAGTTATAAGGATGTCTCCATACAACCGAATGTTCTATATTGCCTAGTTTGCCCTGATGATTCTGATGTTAAATGTGTATTTTCATCGTGTTCTGGTGGAGGATCAGATGACTGGGTCAAATCTTGAAGATTGTTTTCACTGACTAAACGAACAGCATCATCGTAAGACGGTGGATCATCCTGATCCAATAAATCAGAACTAACACTATCTTCATGTCTTATTGGCATCACTCTTGGAAGAGCTCGTGGTCGCGCAAAATTTGCATAAATATTCTCCGTTGAACGCATTGGGTTGGCATTGTTTCTACGCACACTATTTACTCGTGAATGTAGAGATGCAGACGACGCCGACGGATTGATGGTAACAAAGTAATGATCTTGAGGCGAGGACGGTGATGTTATATTAGCAGGTCTTTCGGCCAAAGAGTTGTTAGCTGCACGTTTTCTTCGGACTTTCCTTCGCCATCGTTTAGCAAAACTAACAATATCACTGTTTGTACCATGGTTTTCAGATCGGATATAGGCCCTAGGAATATTATCACTTAGTCCAGAATAGCTGTTAGATCTCCGACCAACTGAGCGAAGATTATTGGAAGAGAAGAATGTTCGGAGGAATCCAGTGCTACGCGATGGAGGAAAGGCAGTGAAGGTGAAGCTTCTGGGCGTTTCATTACCCGAACTTGTGGCAGTGACGTTATCAGAGGCATACCTAGATCTATTATAGTCCATTAATATAGCTTCCGAATAACTAGGTACCATCACATTATTGTTTCTTATATTCATTTCTAAATCAGTACTATTAATAGTATATCGAGATATTGGTCTTGGCATAGTTTCAGTATCCACATAATTTACTCCAAATAATTTATGTACGTGATAATGAAGATGAGCAGTTTTAAATTCAATTATAACCCTAAGAGGCCACGATAATAGACAGAAAGAGGCAATCCAAAATATTAGATGAGAAACATACCAAGGAAGATTATCGGGATCAGCGAACGCTATCATATATTCTTTAAAATTAACGTTTAATAAGTCCATGCCTTCACGGCCTTCCATATAATCATCACGCGATTCGTAGTCCTGGAAGAATTGAGCTCGTTGATCCTCAAATTCACATTCCGCATCAATAGTAGCAAATGAAAAGCCTTTAGAAAAACGGATTTTAGTTGCCGGATAATCAGCTAATCCACACAATTTCTTAGAAATATCTTTAACGCCACATTGAGAGAAATTAAAGGCTGAACCAGCAGTGCACGAATTCACCCTTTCATAATAAATTTGCGTTGAGGTAAAAGCATCCCCATTACGATATCGTGTCACTTGCCGAGTTCGACGAATATAATGATAACAAATTGCTTTCCACCAGATTATCGGTATGGCGTCTTTCATACTGGTGACACGATCATACACCGAATTAATATCAACTTTATATTGAAGTTCTATTCTCGTATGGCTGTGCCAACACTCTACAAGATACACTAAATACAACATAATAACAAAGGCTACGGGTATATAAATGTAGCCGTCATTACACGGACTCGTTTTATCATCAACATACGACGATGGTAAAGTATAAAAATCTACCACCACTGTTTCTACCACAGCCAAACGACACCAAGCCACCGACGCCAGACAACCACAGATTAGTAACGTTAAAATCAAACACTTCCAATGAGCATCACGTCTTAATGATCCACAAAATGACTGTTTGATTGGTCTCTGCTGGAATATAAAGAAGGAAAGATTAAAATCTAAGACATCGGGAAGTACTTACGATTATAAGCCAACCGGAAGTTTGATAGCAATTTGGTTAACAATAAATTTATAATTTAATTCAAATACTGATAAACAAGAGATACCTGCACATTACCGATAAGCATCGTTTTGCCTTTAGTATATATCTGTACAAGTATATAATTTAGACCAATTTAATATTTTACAACAATAATATGATCTTTAGGGAAATTATATATTGATGTGTTTCAAGGTAGTATCATATAAAGGCTAACTATTGGGAATAAATGTTATAAAATTGTGAATTGATTTTGATGATACATCAAATCTCTCTGCTCAATTAATCTTACTTTCAACGCAGATCTTTGGCAAAAGCTTTCATTTTGTAATTGCTTAACATAAAGGACATCATCAACATTTTGTCTTCGGGCAACGATACAGTTCAGACTGACACTCTTTTGTCTGGATTTAACCTATTTTCCAACAGAATACATGACAACGATTGTACAGATAAGGGTTATGGCTATTGTTGCCTACCAGATATGCCAATCAGTGTAAATTGTCAGCCTTTTACAGAAGACATGCCTTGATATATCATTGCAAACCTGTTCACATCCACAAATGTGACAGACGAGCCAATATTTCCCTAAACTACATCGAGCATAGTACCGTATGTCTTTTTCAACTTCCAAGATTGGCCGTTATGGATGTTTTCGATCCCAAAACAGCTCCGAGCAAATAAATATGAATTTTATTTTGAATTTGAATGGCGTGTGGTAATGTTACATCAGAATAGAGTCTATTACAATGTCACTCAAACATCATGTAAGAAAATAAACATCATTAAGAATAGATTAAACTTGAGATTCTACAGTAAGATTTCCCCGTCTAGACACTGCCATTTGATGCCGTCTTTAATAATGGCCATGCTTTTATTTTAAGTAGCCGGTATTGAACTATCATTAGAAGGTGGTCATCTAAAGTATATTGTTATAGATCAGACAATTAGTATAACTTGTCAGTCATCTCACTCAATCTGACAGTTTATTAACGTAACTAGTCAGATAGTGTTCATCTTGAGTGTTATATCATTATAACCAATGTTACTAGAACACATTGATCGTTCCAGCACATCACTTCTCTCTAGATGCCATGTTTTAATACTGAAAGAAAAGGTTTCTCTTGGGAATTTCGATCTTTGTTTCGTCAATAACCTATTCTAAGTCTTATGTCCATAAAGTCTTCAATTATCTGGAGAACAATATCTTGACTTTACCTCTATAGATTTCTTGATTAAATTGTCCTCCACCTTACTTCTCTTGAATTAATATCATTTCACTTCAGCAGCTCAATCGAATTCGTTTTATTCCCTAGCAGTTTGAAAGTGAAACGCAGCATGATTAGAACCTATATATCAATGAAAGGTCAATTTAATCAGCAATATGATTCTGAACAGATGTAAGAAAATTTATAGACAGGATTACATGATTGTCTGTTATTATAAGAACCCAGTTCTCTCACAATGATTTCTGAAGATTCATAATTTCATCAAAATTTGAAAGGATTCCACAGCTTTTGACATTATATTGAACAAGCATGACAATATGAGCATCAAAAAAAAAAAAAAAAAAACGATAAGAATTACCGACGTCAAAAGTATCAAAACGTAAGATAGTAATGTAAGATACGATATATAAACCATATACACTACAAGTGTACCATGTTGTTGCAAAAGAACATAGTGAAGCTTAATCGAAACATACAGTTAATCCTAAAGCCTGAACATACGCAAATTGTCGGGCTATAAAATGATGACATTTTAATGAGCATGACAGCACAATGATGTTCCCATCTGTAATGTTCATCTTAAACATAAATATAACAGCAATATTAATTATCGATATTCTAGATCATTATTGACAGTCATATTCCTAAAGATTATTATTACATCCAAGTACTATTAATAATAAATAATTTGATCTTAGCTGGACAATTTATTTCAATGAATGACCTGAGACTGACTTCTGTCACAGTCAACACGTAGGATCAGAAATCACACCATAATCTAATCTAATCTAGAACGGCATGCTTTGCCATATCATTGCAAACCAATTTTCACCGCCGATGAATTCCTTGTGGCTGAAAGTTTATTTTTACTGTTCTAAGGGTATATGTCAAGATTCAAGAACAGAAATAAATTGTTCACTCTATTATGACTATATGGGAATGTAACATTTAGTACAAAACTCAAAAACATTTATGAAATGTCTGGTATGAGCTTCTTTAGTACAGGCCCATATAGCTACAGGGGTCAAATTAATTGACTTACTGAAAAAATCCTGACAACCGACCAATTTCATTACTGAAACTTAAAACCATACAATATTGCCCCTCTTGTCCCCCATTCCTCATGAAAGAGAACATAGGCACCTCCAATTGTACCCTACTTCACTTCCAACAAATCTAAATTTCTCCAAAATATGTGTCAGAATGAACAAAATCAATTCATTTTTTCTAAAATTCTCTTAAGAGAACCCTCTAAGAGACTTGCGACTATGGCACCATCACAGAGTAGCCAAAATTTGATTTCAGCCTCAACAGTTGTGCCCCATTGAGTCAGTCAATTGTCAATTGTACCCCCAGTCTCGGAGGCTGTGAACAACTGTCGTTGTCTCTTCTTTCATGTCTACATCATAGAATCTATCGAGACTTTAAACTTTGCTTATCGCTTTCGTTTTGGTACATATCAGTTTCCCTCTTGTGATTAAAGGAAGCATCCTTTTGAGTTGAATGCTAATATGATCAATGATTTAACTTCATCATCAGAATAATATAATGTTATAAGCACGTGTGATTAATCTCTAACCGTTTCAATCACTTAAAAAAGACCCAAAGAGAGACAATGACAATAGTGTCTGGCTGAAAATATTCCTCTATAAATACTGCATGGTCTAATGGACTTTTGATATTGATACAGATTTGTAACATCAATATCGTAATTACTTAAGTAAATATTGTAAAGATGTGTTGAATTATAAAAGACTACTTGTCGCAAGAGAATTCATTATGACCAGCTTGATCCAATCCATATCTCTTATTCAAAATTTCAATATTACAGAATTGCGATCGAAATTAAGAGATAAATTTGTTATCTACTTCGATTCTCATCAAGCAAGGCGGCTTGAGACAGTTCTGCGAATTGAGGATTCTTTTTAATTTTAACTAGCCCATTACAGGTTCCCTAATTGATATAATCAATATCGACGTCAAGTATTATTAGTTCTACTGGAATAGTTATGGATTATAAAATAGCTTCGGTCTGGTGAACTAATATAATTTGGGTACATAGTGAAAAAGCACTATATCATTTTTTTTTCTTAAAATGTCAAGCTGCTCATTTGCATTGAATGTCTATGTGGTCCTATGAAGTATTAAGCCTATAAATGTACTTGATTTGTTACTAGCTCTTCATACAGAATACAATTTGTAGTGCTCTGGTCAGAACGAAATCTATATAATCAAGTCTTTTGATTCAACTTCGGGCCACCTCATTTTCTTTCTCTGCCTACTAACTAAACCAGTATAAATTGACCTAGTATTATCTGAAAGGCATTCTATAAAAGAAAATGGCTAACAGGATCAAGACCTATATTGGTCAATGTGAAGAACCAGTATTTCTTTAAGATTAATGGAGTCTGGAACCAATAAATTCCCTCTATTTATAATAAATACAGGGAATATTGAGCAGTATTTGACAGGATAATAAATGTAATTGCTGTAGTATTATTTAGATTTGAATGAAGCTAAACTGATCTAGGTTTGTTTTCATTCATAATATACTTTAAAGGGATGCATCTTTCTATTAATAATCTCTAACAGACGATAAACCTTGACGTAGCCTTTGATGGTACGTACAGAATAGGCTACCCTAATAAGATGTCCGTAGATTTATTGAGCAGCAATACCGGGTGGAGCGCCAGGCAGGATATGTTTACTCTTCTGGGCACCTGATATAACTTTTCATTATGAAATACTTTCTCACTTATGATTGATATACTTCTTCATGTGAAGTACTACCAATGTTATTCCAATATAATGGTTTTAATTTTGGGTTTCGTTTTAGTTATTTTACTATATATATTTTAATCACTTGATAACGTCACCTGTATGTGTTATGAAACGTTGTGTTCAATAATAAATTTTTTCTTAAATAAAGTTGTTTCTTATACATATTTTTTTCTAGACTTGTCACTGTAGTAAGGATAGTAGAATTTTGTCACTTTTAGCTGATCAACGGAATGATTAGAGGAGAGTTTACCTTGAAGAGAGTGATTTCTGTAATTACAATAATCATCAAATGGAGCATCATAGATTCTACTTTCGCTTTCTGGTCGATCGATTGTAGAAGCCATTGACAGTCTGTTTAACTTTAATTATAACCAGTACGTTAGAAGAAGGTTGGGAGACAGACAGACGTATATATGAGTATTGACTGCGATTTTTATTGACTAATTAGTAGTCTATTTCTTATCATTCTTTCACATTCCTTTGTAGAAACCCACTGAGGTTTTGATATCGTATTCCATGCAACAACATACAAGTGCTACATTTTCAAATTCAGATTAGACGATTCTGTTGATTTGCAGAGGTCAAACTGTTCAAAATTCGTACTTGTTTGACTAACATTTTCTTTTAATCGAATATCAAAATATTGTACTTTTGTGGTTTGACTTGCAAGGAATTTGATTAACCATATTGCAATTATATGCTTCTTACATCAACGTAAATACCCCATTTTTAATCGCGTACTGAACGGCCTAATATTAATTCAAACTGTACACATTATGTTTAACATATAATCCTACCTTTGCTATAGATTCACCATTTTACTGACTTTAAATTTCTATCAAGTAAAATAATTGGTAAAAACGGTGATAATATTTTTTTTTGGATATTGATATGAAATGAAGTCCAATCATATAGATGTTATT